GGATATTGTTCCTTTTGGATTGGTCACACAGTTCTCTTAATATTGTTTCATTCCTGGAGATCCTTTTATCTCACTCTGTGTCAGCTTCTATACGTTCCTGTTCTCTGGTTTCTATTCCATCAATGGCCTCTTGCATCTTATCCATTCTGCTTATAAATCCTTCCAGAGTTTGTTTCACTTCTGTAATCTCCTTCCCGATGTCTGTAATCTCCCTCCGGAGGTCTGTAATCTCCCTCCGGACTTCATCCCTTAGCTCTTGTATATTTCTCTGCATCTCCGTCAGCATGTTCATGATTTTTATTTTGAATTCTTTTTCAGGAAGACTGGTTAGGTCCATCTCCTTCTCAGGTGTTGTCTCTGTTATCTTGGTCTGCCTGAAATTTTGCCTTTTCATGGCGATAGAGATAGTTTGCAGAGTTGGCACGAGTGACGGCTGGAAGAACTTCCCTTCTTGTTGGCTTGTGACCTTCTTCTCCTGGGAGAACAGGGACCTCTAGTGGCTTGTGCTGGGCAGCTGTGCACAGACGGGGCTTCTGATTCTTGCCTGGCTACTATGGAGTTTATCTCTTTTATTGCTGTGGGTGTGGCCTGTCCTCGGGCTGCTGCTCCGATATCGTGGAGCTGCATTGGAGGGGGAACGTCCAAGAGGCTATATATCTCCGTGAGGGGCCTCCCTGCTCCCTACTGCCCAGGGTGTTAGAGTAACTAGAGTTCCCCAGATTCCCTGCTGCTGGACTAAGTGTCCCAGGTTGCTTCCGTCTGGCCATGGGGTCCCTGTCACTTTAAGACTTCCAAAAAGCACTCACTTTTCTTTGTCCCCAGGGCACCAGCTGTGGGGACCCGCTCACAGGTCTTACTGTCCTGTTTCCCTAGTATCCAGGACCCCACGCATGCACTGTGTCTGCGCTCTGGTACGGATGGCTAGGGCTGGCTATTTAGCAGTCCTGGGCTCCATCTCCCTCTCCACTCTGACTCCTCTCCTCCCGCCCGGAGCTGGGGTATGGGATGTTCGGGTCCCACCAGGCTGGGGCTTGTATCTTACCCACTTCGCGAGGTGCTGGGTTCTCGCAGGTGTGGATGTGGTCTGGATGTTGTCCTGTGTCTTCTGGTCTCTCTTTTAGGAAATGTCTTTGTTGTATTTTCAAAAATATATGTGGTTTTGCGAGGAGATTTCTGCTGCTCTACTCACGCCGCCATCTTGGCTCCGCCCCTGAGCGTCTGCTTTTGAGGGCTGGTTTCCCATGTCTGCGTCACTCCCCAACTAATCCTGCTGAGAGGAGCACCCAGCGTCCCAAGCGCGCCAAGTCAGGGGAGATGTCCTGGGAGCTGGGGTTAGGGACGTCTCCCACACCGCAGGGCCAGGAGCAGGCTAGATGCCCACAGAGGGTGGGCTCGATGCCCCAACCTGGACATAGCTACGATTTTGAACGGACCAGGTGAAATGGAGTTAGGAAGGGAAAGAAACCGGGGGAAACTGAGGGTCTCACTGGAAAATAGTCCATGCAGCAGAGAGCAGGCTGAGGTCCTGGGTTGGGGAAGGAGGGGGCAGGGCCACCGGTGGCCGGCCAGGGCCCTGCACTCACGCTCCTTCTCAGGTTTCGGCACCAAATTTAAGATAAATTCCAACCGAAATAAGCAGGTGACAAGAGGCAACAAAGGGCCAGGCAGTTTATTTGAGCACAGTCCTGGGCAAGGTTCACCAGTCTATGTAAATGGAAGCTGGAGAAGTCTTGCCCAGCAGGGCAGGCAGCAAGTTTTTAAAGAAGGTAGGGGGAGGAAGAGCAAAGGTATACAGTGGTGTGAGGATTGGCTTGCCTAGGATATGTGGGGGTCTCTCATTGGCCTTTAGACAGGCACTGAAAAGCTACCACCATTCCTCCAGCTTAGGGGAGGGCTCTAGTTAGGAACTTCTGGAATGTTGTCCGATCATACCCTGGAATGTTGTCAGCCTGGAACCTGTTGGTCTCTTCGCCTTGTTTGGTGAGGCCTGAGCCTGTCCAGTGGACTTGCCCCTTCCCCCCATGCCTCCAGCCTTACAATGCTGAAAGAAGCCAGATAAAGAGTAAATTCTGTATAATTTGCAGATGGGGATCTATAGTGATAGAAAGCGCATTGGGTTGCTTAGTGATGGGAGATTGAGGAGGGGTCTCAGAGGGATCACAGAGGAAATACAAGGAGACTCCCAGGGAGTAATGAGTTTGTTCACTTTATTGTTGTGATGGTTTTACAGTTATAAAAGTATGTCGAAACTTATTAAATCTTATACTTCTGATATATTATTTATTATTAGTTATTCCTCAATTAGACTGTTTTTAATGTGGAAATATGCACCACTGAAATGAGAATGGATGACAGCCCATTCAGAGCTTGTCATAATATGGGAGTCAGCCACCATTACTGTGTTTGTCAGTGGTCAAAAAGCAGGTAGACCAGTGGGAAGCTCTGTAGTGGTCGAAAGGGAAAGCTTCAGTCATGGCCTGATTAGGGGTGCTTGGCAAGGGCCTAACTACAAGTAGGGGCATCCTTTGTGATTGGTTAGTGGTACTATTTGGCTTTCTCTGGTTGTCCTAAGTTGAAAACAGGGACAAAAATTAGGGAAGCTATTAGTTATTAATCAAGTCTTGTCTGTTCGGGGCCAAATTTTACAGGGGTTGTTTGGCTTCCTAAACTAGTTGGTAGAGATAGTCTGAGTTCCTTAACTGGTTACTATAGATAGTAGGCTGGTTTCTTGGGCTAGTTAGTGGAGCTGTCAGGTCAGCTTACTGGGCTGGTTACTGCCTTTTATGGGTCAGAGCTCTACTTTTATATGTGTAATCTGTTCATTGTCCTTCAGTCTTTTAGATTCTTATGAAAAGAATCAGATTCAATAAGAAAGGCAAGCCACAAACTGGGAGAATATATTTGCAATACATATGTAACAAAGTACTTATTTCCACTATATATATATTTTTAATAACTCCTATACATTTGGTAAGAAAAAGGCAACCTAGTTTTTAAAATGAGCAAAAGGCTTGAACTAGCACTTTGTGAAAGAGGATATCCAAATAGCTAATAAACATATGAAAAGATGATAGTAGGGAAAATGCAGCCATCATTTAATCATTAATCCTTTAATGCAGATTAAATGAGCACTGCCACATCCCTACCAGGATGGCTAAAATTAAAGAATTAGCAGTACCAAGTGGTGGTATTGATGTGGAGCAGCTGGAACTTTCATACACTGCTGGTAGGAATGTAAAATTGGTACAGATTCTGGAAAACTGTTTGTCAGTGTCTGTTAAAGCTAAACCTATATATTCTCTATGAGTCAACATCAACACTCCTGGCTTTATGTCTGATAGCAATGAGTATTTTACATCCACCAAAACACTCATATAGGAATATGATAGCTAAAAATGGGATACAGCCCAAATGTTTATCAACAGTAATTTCCTCATGCATACACAATCCTCTGGAAAACTGGCATACTGTATAGTTCCAAACCTTCCAAACCCACTTTGCACTTTGTTGCTTATACCTCTTATTTCATCATCTTCTCTCCCTAAATCCTTTCTTCTCACACCAGCCCTATTTAAAACCATTTCAACCTGGTGGAGAATTTTGATGTGCTTCATGAAATCCATGAACCCCTGAATATATCCAAATGTTTCTATATATGTGCATTTTGCTGGAGAAAGAGCTTGTCTTATCAAATTCTAAAGAGGGGTCCATAAACCCCTAAAAGTTAAATTGACTTGGTGATCTTTTGAAGGAATGTAAATTAAGCTCATTTTATGCTTGAACAAGAGTTTGTCTTATTAAAACTTAGTCCTCAATAAAACATTTCTTAGTACATAAATTATATTTAAAGCTCAGTTTCAGATTCAGGTAAAATGGCTTATCCTCATCCATTTTTTAGGTCCCTGGATATAGCTCTTTGTGTGGAATTTATTTTCCTCAAAAGATAACGTCTTAGTATTTTTCACTTTAGTATCTTTAGTTAGGGGAAATTTTTTTCCCTCCCACATGTCTATTCATACAGCTAGTAGATAGTACCATTTCTATATACTTTGATGTAGCAATCCCTTTTAAAATATAGCAATCACATTTTTCAATACTTTTTTTCCCCCTTGTTTTAGATTCTTATAGGCAATGGAAACTGATCTCAATTCCCAGGACAGAAAGGACTTGGACAAGTTCATTAAATTTTTTGCCCTCAAGGTAATATATCCATTCTCTTGAGCCTAGAACTGTTAGAAATAACTTCCATACTTCTCCCGTTTTGGAAATACAGCATAACAGCTTGCAGCTTGCCCATTTTAAGGGATTCTTCTGTCTGTTGTAAACCAAACTGTGAAGTTTGGGGGTGGGACTGGGGGTATAACTAAAAAGTAGCTTCCAATTTTCCACAGCTACTTGTTAAAAAAAAAAATTTTTTTTTGCCATGCTGTTTGCAGAAATGTCAAACTATTATGCCAGGTTATTGGCACAGTATGTTCCCTTAGGGTGGGAACAAAAGACTGGACTAGAATGGACAGCATTTTTGGCATCTTTACCTAAGCATCAACTAACTCTGAAATGTCTGACTTTGATTCATTGTTCCCTCTGGGTAAAATGAGGAATTAAAACTGAATTTTGCATGCTTTAGAAGTTATATTTTTGTCAATCTGAAAATCATTTCCATCTCTATCACTCCTTCCTCTCAACCATTGCTATGTAAGAACAACCCATGCAGTAGATTTTGGTTGTAAAATTAGTTGGAGGATTTTTTCCATATGGGCCAAATGATATGAACAATCGTGGAATCATTGGTTTAAATTTACTATGATTATGTAAGTGTATAGCAGTGCATATTTAAATGGTTGGACTTGTTCCTTTATGAAAGTCAGAGCCACCATGTACAAATTTCCTTCTGCCATGTGAGAATATTACAGATTCCAAGCCTCAAACTATAATTCATCTAAGTGGCTGACATTGTGCCCTCAGGAATATTTACAGTATTATTTTTGTGTAGTATTATTTCTAGCTGTTCTTTAACATTTTAAATTCTACCCTTTACTAAAGTATAGTTAAGATGATTGTCATCTTTTTAACCCTACATTGAGAGGGTTTTAATTCTGATTGAGAGCCAAATCAATTTCTTAAAGAGTTTTCATCTTCTTTTGTCTGTTTCTTTTAGACTGTCCAAGTGATTGTCCAGGCTCGACTTGGTGAGAAGATTTGTACTCGTTCATCTTCATCCCCAACGGGTTCAGATTGGGTAAAATTCCTATTCTTTGCTAAGGGGTATACTGCTAAGGGGTATTTATCACAAGGAATCACAGTGAAGTAATAAGGAATACATTTATAGTATTACTAAATCATAACATTAAAATATCTAATTCCGTTTGATCTGTTCACTTTAGAAAGTTATTTTCTTCATTGATTATTAGTCTTGAATTAATTTGGTCCTTGGCTTTCTGCTGTGGTAGGTGAAAAACTTAGAAGACAAAAATATCTTAACTAATCTTTGTATCAGGTCTTTAGCTTTTTTTCAATTGAAGTATCATTGATATACAATCTTTTATTGTTTTCAAATATACAACACAGTGGTTCAATAGTTATTATATTATTAAATCCTCAGCCCCTCTAGTGTGGTTACTATCTGTCAACATAAAAAGATGTTCAGAATCATTTACTATATTTTCTCCATGCTGTACTACCATCCCAGTTACCAACTTATATTGTGATTGAGAATTATTGTGCCCCTTTATCCCCCTCCCCCTCCCTCCCTACCCACCGCAGCCCTTCCCCCATGATAACCACTAGTCACTTCTCAGTGTCTGTGAGTCTACTGCTGTTTTGTTCATTCTGATTTGCTTTGATTTTATATTCTGTAAATAAGTGCAATCATATGGTATTTGTCTTTCTTTGCCTGGCATATTTCACTTATTTCACTGAACATAATACTGTCTAGATCATCCATATTCTTGCAAATGGTCATTAGCTTTTTCAACCTGAGTTTTGGGGATTTGCTGCAGGATATCTCTTGTGGGGAAGGGAGAAGTAAATGAATGAATGTCTAATCAGTCAAAGCAATACCTGTATTACCCAACATAGAGTCTTACCACTTTGTTTCTGTAATATTCCTTGTATTTAGTACAAAGTATCTTTTGTTTTCTAGTTCAATTTAGCAATCAAAGACATCCCAGAGGTTACCCATGAAGCAAAGAAGGCACTGGCAGGGCAGCTGCCTGCTCTTGGGAGATCTATGTGTGTGGAGATTTCACTCAAGACTTCTGAGGTAAGGTTATGGCCATGATAGGGATAGTGTCTTAACTTGGCTGTCAAAGCTCTTCATACTCTGTGGTTTCAACTCATCCTTATTTCTGCCTCTTCCCTCTATGAATGTATCATTCCCCAAGGAGGTCTTGGTTTTTGTACTTATTTTTCCAACCACTTAGAAAGGCTGTTTTCCCTCATCTTCATGTACATCTATACATGATATGTTTCTACTCATTCTTCAAGACTCATGTGCTCTAAAAAATCTCCCCCATCTAGGAGGAGAGGTAAATACTCTCTTTAAACTTCCCCTGTGCTTTGTTTATACTTGTTTCTACAGTATAACTTGTTGTATTGTGATTTTTAATGTGTTTTGCTCATTTTATTCTACATTAGGATTGAGACAGATACGTTAGTTGTATGTTTATTAATCTATTTCCATCACAAGATTGTGAGGCTGCATGGCATAATAAAAGGCAGAGGAGTTTCACACTACCCATGCCCAAGTTCAGATCCCACCTGCATGATTTAGGCCCAGTTACTTAACCCCACCCTCACCAACACCTCCAAACTAATATGACACTTCTCAGGCTTGCAGGGCTGTGCTATTTCTTACTTGATCCTTGTTTGTAAAGTGCCTAATATAACATATACTAAGCAATTATTGTATATTCCTGTTCATACTTTTCACTTTTATTCTTGAGGTCAGCAACTATACCACATATTGTTTATCTTTGTAGCTCTTTAAATCGTTTTTGAAATGAGGCAGGTTAAACATAAATAATTATCTCTGTGCCTAGCACAGTGCCTGGGATGGCAAGTAGTAGGCTCTCAATGAATTCTGTTGAATGAATATCAGTACTTATTCCATGGAAACCTTAGTATCAAGTAAAACAAAACTTTCTATCCTTCTTTATTGAATTCTTAGTTTATACTGTGAATTATTTTCTTTAGTGATCCATTGGGAGTCCTAGAGGAATCTCTAGAAGAACTCTTTCCTTGTCCAGGCATCTGTGAAATCTGAATATGAACTGTTTTGATTGTTCTCAGAGAAACCATATCAACTTGTCTTGGATACTTCCTACTATCCAAGTCATCCCTTGGCTTTGGGGGGAGGGAGGATTCAAAACTCATCATGTCATTTAAAAATGGCAGTATGATGAGAAGGATGTATATTAAGGATACTTATTTAAATTTTATTTAGAAAAAATAAAAGTTCTCTATTCCACAGATTAATGTAAAGCTTATTACCAAACCTAAAAGAATAGTCCTTTTCCATTCTGGGAAAACGATGGCAGTGTAAGAAGGCAAGAACAGTCCTCTTCCAACTGACTAGTAAAAATCTAACTTGTGTTCAGAAGTATGTGACTCTCTTCATTAAGTGACATGTAGGAGTGTTACAGAGTTGAGGGATTCTGGTTTTAGCCTTTTCTTTTTCTTACACATCCATTAGACTAAGTGTCAATAACACAGAGACTGAACAGTTTAGCTAAAGACATCAGATAGCTAAAAAGGTTTTTAAGTAAGGAGCTTGCTAAGGTATTCCTTAACTGTAGGTGTCACATATAAATGTGTCCTGTAGAATTGGAGTAAAAGGCTCTCTACATCATTTGAAGTGTCAGCCTTTCTGAAGAGCAATTGGGATATATATAGCAAAAATCTTACTAGATGCATGAATATTTTTTGGTCTAACAGTTGTAATTCTGGAAATTGGCCTTAAGAAATTAATCCAGGGTGTCTGCAAGGTTTTAGTCTCAAGGTTGTTTATCACAGTGTTGTTTGTAGTATGAAAAATTAGAAATAACCTGTATATCCAAGTATGGGGGTACTGATTTGATCAAATGGTGGTCATATGGTGGAATACTATGCAATCATTAAAAACAGAACTTTTAATTATAAAGAAATTCCATATTGTATTTATTAATAAAAAAGCAAGTGATACATCGCTTCTCGGCCTTTTGGCTAAGATCAAGTGTAGTATCTGTTCTTATCAGTTTAATATCTGATACGTCCTCTATCCGAGGACAATATATTAAATGGATTTTTGGAGCAGGGAGATGGAATAGGAGCTTGCTCCGTCCACTCCACGCATCGACCTGGTATTGCAGTACTTCCGGGAATGGTGCACCTAAAAATGACTGGATTATAAATTGGTATCTGTTTCTTTTTGCTTACTTATACTCACTAATATTTTTATAGTGACTGTGTAGTGCTTTGTGATAAGAAAAAAGAAGGTACTAAAAAAAACAACTGAAATATCTTTCAATTGTCCCATCAACAGGGAGATTCCATGGAGCTAGAAATTTGGTGTCTTGAAATGAATGAAAAGTAAGTGCTCTTTTTTATTGTTGTTGGTTGTGGTTGCTGAGGATAAAGCAGATGATGTCATGTGAAAAACAGGGCTTTGTTATCAGTAATGGAGGATATTCTGAACACCTAACAAAACCAATAGATCTTTGCTACAATTTGCTTCATGCTTGGCTTCCAGCCCAGGCATAGAGATGACCTTTACAGGAGTGTCAGTCCAGAGAAACTCAGACACGCAGGGAAAGGAGCAGAGAGAAAGCTGAAAGGATTTATTGTTTTCCCAGAGTACAGATAGTTCTCTGATTAAATCCCTTGAGAGCCCTTATAATATGACTACTCTATTTTGTCTGTTTTCTGGTTGCAAACATTCAATAAGATTTCCCCTTGCTGTGCTTTTTTACACACTGTTGATCATGGATTAGAAATGCACGTTGTTTCCCGCCTCCATTTTCTTCTTTCAAGGTAGATTGGCTTACTTTCTGCCTGAAACTTCAGTTTTCAAGAGTATATAGGAAAATTGAGGAAATAGCAACACATCAAAAGAAAAATCTTAGTAATAAGTATGTGTAATGTGGGTGTTATTTTTCTTTGTTAAATAGAAAATAATCACTAGGTTATAGTCCAAACTTCAGTACCAGACAGCATTTTCCCCAGATTTCTTATTAGATGTATAGAGGTAGACAGCTCATAAGGTAGTTATATTGAAATTATGTTTACACCTTCAGTAATATAATGCAATATTGAATTAATGTTTTTTAAGTGTTTTGCTTTATTTCTTGGAAAGATAAATGCTTCTCAGCTAGAAAAAATATATATTGGGTACCTTTTGGGCCCATTTGCGTGTGGTTAGTACATGAGAAAGTAAAACTTTGGCTTATCCAACAATCTTGACAAACTGACAAAGAACTCTAATTACACCCTTAGTTCAGAACATGTTTTTATCATAAACTTAGTCTTATACAATTCCAGTGCCTAATTTGTCACCATCGTTGTTGACTGTAATACTCTGTGAATGGTGTATTTGGACTGCTCAGCAGATGATACTCTATCGAATTTATGAATAATGCTAACAAATTAATCTCAGTTGCTGGATTGAACATAACTAATCTCTATATATATCCATTGCATTTCTGTTCTTTCTTTTACATTAGTTGAATAGGAGAATGCTAATAGTGTCTGTGTGCTCCTCAGGTGTGATAAAGAAATAAAAGTTTCTTACACGGTATACAACAGACTGTCATTGCTGTTGAAGTCTCTCCTTGCTATAACTAGAGTGACACCGGCTTACAGACTCTCCAGGAAACAAGGTCATGAATATGTCATATTGTACAGGTAAACAGCATAGCTGCTCACCTTCTTGATTCACTCATCAACTTCACCACTTTACACATTGTCTGATTGGCATTCAAGTGTTCTGTGATTAACTTTTAGACAGATGGTTGGATAGTTGATGCCATGGTTTTACTGTGATAGTCTCTCTCCTCTCTTAGGAACCGCAGCTTTCCAAAACTACCACTTCTTGGTCCTTTGTCTCTGCACAGTCATGATTCCTGTGGAATGAGTTTTTAGGTTCTACTGATAGACATCTCAAAGCTGGAAAAGCTGTTTTTAAAAACAGGCTATCCTGGGAATATTACATAGCCTTCTGTATTCCAGAATTAAATTAAAACTTTTTATCTGACAAACTGCTAATTCAGTTTGTTTTTGATTAGTTGTCTGTGGATTTAAGGAACTGGTCAACAGTGCTTTGAGTATTTTCCTTGGAGTATTTCACCTCAACACACATTTGAGTGCCTTTTTAATGCAGGCATTCTGCTAGGCCCAACAAAGAACTGTACAGAGGCCCTGTCCTATAAGTGTTTCTAATCTAGTGGAGGAAACAGTGTGGTACATGCATAATGATAATAAAAAGCAGTATATGAAAACTGCATAGCAGTATCAGGAAAAAAGTATTGGGAGAATACAGGAAGGAAAGTTTATTTTGGGTGGGAGAAACAAAACAGGCTTCATGGAGAAAGGGACCTTCAAGCTGGACTTTGAGGCAGAGAGAATTTCAACTGGTAGAAGTGAGAAAGAATAATCATTCCAGGTGGGGAGTCCAACAGATGGTGCAGCCCAGAAGTGGGGTGTGGGGTGTGAACTGTAATCAGTATCATCAGAGGACCAGTGGTGATACAGAGGATGTGTAGGACAGTGGGAGAACAGAGCATGGAAAACTAGGAGTTCCCAAATCATTCAAGACTCTCTTCTTTCATACTAGTGATGAGCCACTAGTCTTTGGCTTATAATCATAGAGGTAATTTTGAAAAGAATTAGGACAGAAGGACCAAGAATTAGAAACTTAACTAATTCTGTTGAAACAACCTACTACCTGAGAATAGTTATAGTTTATCTTCATTAGCAATAATCTAGCAATAATCTTACCCATGTTTATTTTTCCAAAACTTTAATACATTTTGGTTATCTTCTCTGTAGTCTTCCCAGCTTTCAAGTTGAGTATTCTGTTTGAAAATTACTAGACTTTTATTCAGCTGTAACAGAAAAATTACTTTCAAACTCTGACCTCTCATTTATCTATGCTAAGTCCCCTTTGTTCTTTTGCAAGTAGCCATACTAGTCTACTAGTCATCAGCTTCGTTAACTAGGACTTAGTCCTTTTCATATCAGTGTTTGAAGTCTTCCTTTGTCTATGTCTCTGGAGTAATACAAAATTTATTGCTCACTGTTTATCACTTAGGAGTGCTTTTGGATTCAGATAACTGGTTTAAACCATAGAGAAGTGAGTGATCTCAGAGGTAGATTTGGCTCTTTTTTTTTCTTTTTTTACTGGTTGTTAGCAGGTTAACAGTATAGCCTTATACCATTGAAGAATAGCCTTGTCTTTTTTTTTAAGCTGTTGTATTATTTTTTTCCTGAACCTGTAGGTATATCTGACCGTGTCACTATAGACTTACATTGTTATATAAAAACTCATTCTGAATTTGTTGTTCATCAAGACTGAATTAAAGTTGTATTGTGAAGAAAACCTCTGTGAAGAAAATTTTATATAGTTTTCTGTGAAGAATACTTTGGCTTAGTGCCCAAATGGCATAAAAAGTATAACCAAGAAACTGTCTAAATAATTATATTATTTTTAAAAGCACTGTACTGGTATTCAAATGAGCAGTCCACTGATTAAGTGTCAGCTCTTTATTAGAGGGTACTTAGCAAAATCTCTCTTGACAACACTTTCTAAACATTCATTGCTATATTACTATATGGCAGGAGTAAGCAAACTATGGCCAGCAGACCATTGGCTTGTTTTAATAAAGTAATTTGAGAACACATCTACCCCAGTCGTTTATGTATCATCAGTAACTACTTTTGCAGTGCAGCAGCATAACTGAGTAGTTACCTCAGACTATATAGCTTGCAAGGCTAAAATATATACTATTTGATCCTTTTAGCAAAAGTTTGCTGACCCCTGCTTTATGATGTCTGTCACATTGGTACATGTGTTTCAGATACCTATATACATTTCTTTTCTCCCATACCAAACTGTAATCTGTGAGACCTAGGATTCACATTTATCCAAAATCTCATCCCTAATTTATCCATATCTCATTCCTAACACCTAACCATATAGGGCTTTGTACATTGTTAGAGCTTAGTTTTTATTGAACAAAAACATGTATGTGTTTAATTTTTAACAATATTACTTGAAAAATACAAAAATACATTTCAAGTATTTTATAATTCAGACTTTTAGCTAATCTTCCCAAGGAGATTCATGGAAAGGTTCTATTGTGTTTATATTTTTAGAGTAGCCTTACCTAATTAACCTATGTAGAAAAGATTGTCTGATTTATTGACCAATTTATTTTGGAATGATGTGATAAGTACAGAGAGGTCCTCTTAATTGAAGATCATGCTTCAAAATCTTCCATTGCATATTTGAAAGTTGCTGAGAGAGTAGGTCTGGGAGTTCTCACAGAAGAAAAAAAATTCTGTAATTTTCTATGGTGATTGGTGTTAACTAGAGTTACTGTAGTGATCATTTCACAATGTGTGTACAAATATTGATTCCCTAAATTGTACACCTGAAACTAATGTTGTATGTCAACTATATCTCAAAAAAAATCTAGTACCTCCTAAGAGTAGTTGCAGATCTACTTGTCAATTTATTTTATTGTATTCTTTATTTCCCAGTAGGTATGCTTGAAAAACACATTACAGGAACAGGAAGAAGAAACTTTAAATAGCAGTTTCCACATAATGACTATTTTCCTCATTTCTTAACCAGTCCTCTTCATATACATCCCCATGCCTACAGCTTAATCAAAGTAGTAGCATTATTGGTCCATTATGAGAGTTGTTGTTGTAGATAAGAAAAGAAGGGTTTGTTTTGTTTATTTTGTTTCTAGATGTTTGGCTATAGAGGCCCTTAGAGTAAAGAGATAACAGCTCTTTTTCTTTCTTTCCTACAGGATATATTTTGGGGAAGTTCAGCTGAATGGCTTAGGAGAAGGTGTGTATCAAGGTTGAAAAACATTTGTAGTGTTAAGAGCTCTCCTGACTTCAGAGATGGGCTTGGATGCTGCCTATAATAATAATACGAAGCTTGTGATTTTAATGTGTGTGTTACAAGTAAGAAAAAGACAGGTAGGTGGCCCACAGAGCTGCTAGGAGTGACTGAATAATTTCTCCCGAAGTTTCAGTAACCTAGTATTTTTCTTTTTTTATAAATTTATTAAAGTATCATTGATATACAAGCTTACAATGCTTTCATATAAACAACCCAGTTGTTTCAACATTTACACATATTATCAAGTCCTCACCTCCTTGATTGTGGTGACAGTATGTCAGCATAGTAAGTTGTCTTTTCTGTGCTGAACTGCCTTCTCCGTGACCTACCTATATTGTGACTGCAAATTATAGTGCTCCATAATCCCCTTTTCCCTCCCTCCCCACCCACCCTCCTCAACCCCTTTCCTTTTGGTAACTGCTAGTTCCTTCTTGGAGTCTGTGAGTCTGCTGCTGTTTTGTTCCTACAGTTTTGCTTGATTGTTATACTCCAGAAATGGGTGAAATCATTTGGTACTTATCTTTCTCCACCTGGCTTATTTCACTGAGCATAATACCCTCTAGCTCCTTCCATGTTGCTCTAAATGGTAGGATTTGTATTTTCTTCTTATGGCTGAATAATATTCCATTGTGTATATGTACCACATCTTCTTTATCCATTCATCTATTGATGGACAGTTAGGTTGTTTCCATATCTTGGCTATTGTAAATAGTGCAGTGATAAACATAGGGGTGATGCATATGTGTTTTTGAATCATGGTTCTTGTTTTCTTTGGGTAAATTCCTAGGAGTGGAATTACTGAGTCAAATGATATTTCTATTTTTAGCTTTTTTGAGGAACCTGCGCACTGCTTTCCACAGCAGTTGTACCAATTTACATTCCCACCAACAGTGTAGGAGGGTTCTCCGTTCTCCATATCTTCGCCAGCATTTGTTGTTGCTTGTCTTTTGGAATTTGAGTATCCTAATTGGTGTGAGGTGATATCTCATTGTAGTTTTAATTTGCATTTCCTTGATAATTAGTGATGTGGAGCATCTTTTCGTGTGTCTGTTGGCCATCCATATTTCTTCCTTGGTGAAGTGTCTGTTCAGATCCTCTGCCGATTTTTTAATTGGGTTATTTGTTTTTTGGCTGTTGAGGCATGTGAGTTCTTTATATATTTTTTATGTTAACCCCTTATCAGATAAATTGCTTATGAATATATTCTCCCATACTCTAGGTTGCCTTTTTGTTCAGCTGATGGTGTCCTTTGCTGTGCAGAAGCTTTTTAGTTTGATGTAGTCCCACTTGCTTATTTTTATTTTGTTTCCCTTGCCTGAGGAGATATGTTTAGGAAAGAGTTGCTCATGTTTATATCCAAGAGATTTTTACCTATGTTTTTTTCTAAGAATTTTATGGTTTCATGACTTACATTCAGATCTTTGATCCATTTCGAGTTTACTTTTGTATATGGAGTTAGACAATAAGCCAGTTTTATTCTCTTACATGTAGTTGTCCAGTTTTCCCAGCACCAGTTGTTGAAGAGGCTGTCATTTCCCCATTGTATATTCATGGCTCCTTTATCATATATTAATTGACCATATATGTGTGCATTTATATCTGGACTCTCTATTCTGTTCCATTGATCTATGGGTCTGTTCATGTGCCAGTACCAAATTGTTTTGATTACTGTGTAACCTTGCATTTTTCTTATTATTTATACAATTACCTGTTTTCCTAATTTTCTACAATGAACACCTTAAATGTATTTGATGAGCATCAACAATTTTGAAAAATTGGAAATTAAGAACACCAAGAAAGCTTTAGTTGGAAGTACCTCTGGCTTTTTTCCCTTGCTCTGGAGTGGCAGCATGGGTGGGGATGCAGTTGCTTCATAAATTGAGATGTTTATGTGACAGACTCCTAGTGCCCTGTTACTGATTCAGTTGGGGTTTAACACATCTGGGCTCAGTTGGTTAGAACTTGCTCAAGCTTTAAGACTTAGTCATTTTATCTCTTTGAAAATGGTTTTATCTGGAAATAGAATGCTGTTTTCCTTGCCAAAATTAGGTCAGTGAGAATAATTTAAAGGAAAAAATATATCTCTATGCATGTATACATGCATGTGAAATCGAGACTGCAACAATTCAGGTGCTAAGTGGGGTAATGCCAGGGATGATTCAGGAAGAGACAGACAGGGTAGGCAATGTCAGTATTCTGGGAAAAAAGTGAATTATTTATCTCTTCTAGGTTTCCAGACAGTTCGTGTTGGGACAGTGGGCACCCCTATGGGCACCATCACTCTTTCTTGTGCTTACAGAATTAACTTGGCCTTCATGTCCACCAGGTGAGCAAAGAGACTTGGAATCTAAGAGAACTCTTCCAAAGATTGTGAAGTTTTTTTCCCCCTAAGTGAAGTTTTTCTTCCCCTAGATTTCATGGCTAAGCCTGCAATTCACCTTGGCTATTGCTGATACCCATCCCCTTCTGAAGAATAAAATTGAGAGAGCCCAGTTTCCAGACTGGAGAATCTGAGTGTCACAGAGCTACCAATGTAGAGTTGGTGGTTTACATTTAGGGATGTAGTAGTTAAGGCTTAGATGGTTCCTGCTAGTAGATACAATGTGAGGAGTCCTCTGAGGACTTCAGCGGGGTGGCAAGGCATTCTGACAAATATTGCATTCTGATTATTGCATTACAGGCAATTTGAAAGGACCCCACCTATCATGGGGATTATCATTGATCACTTTGTGGACCGTCCCTATCCCAGCTCCTCGCCTATGCACCCCTGCAATTACAGGTGAGGAATGTGAGCAGCACTTTCCCAAACTGCAGCTAGGCAGAAGCATCCATCTTACACAGGCACATAGATCACCTTTACTAGCATTCTCCAGTGGACGGGGGAACTGATAGAGACCTCACAGGGTGAGAAACGGAGTGGCTGGTGTCTCTTCTTGTTGCTGCCTATAAGGTACACCAAGATTGGGGTATAAAGAGTGTCTCAGAAAATTCTTGAACATTTTGGACCTTGACAGTAGCAATTTGACTTTTGATTTGTCTTTACTTAGAGACTAAAATGGCAATAATCGGTCCTTTGCAAATGAAAAGGTTTTCAGGTCACCATTGGCACAGTTCAGTTATACATCAGAATCCAGTGTTTCCAGGCCTACGTCCCAGAAAACAGATTTCTCCAGAGGTTAGAATATGTGTGTCTCAGGACAGATACTGTCTTTATGTGAGGGACTGGTGAACATTCATCTTTGGAATCTAGACTTTGTTTCACTATGGCTAACAATTCTTTGGCCCCAACAGTGGCCAGAATAATACTCTCAAATGGTATGTCAGGTAAGATGTTTGGGTTTAAAAAGAGCCATTGTCAACCCCTAAATGTTGGTCTTTGGGAATGTTTGAAATTACCAAGGACTCAATACTTTTCTTGACATTATGAACTCTGCCTGAAACAGTTCTTTTTACAACTTGCATCCTTATTTAACCTTCCTTTGTATCCTTTCTGAAACTGACTGCTGTAACCATAAAATACACAATTTCTTTTTCTGTCACTATAGAGCTGCTGGTGAGGACACTGGAGTAACATATCCTTCTGTGGAAGATTCTCAAGAAGTGTGTACCACTTCTTTTTCCACCTCCCCTCCATCCCAGGTAGGGGGAAACAGGTTCTATGGTGGCAGTATGGTGTCAAAAATTGGTCTTATGGAATGGTGTCAGAATTTAAATACAGTCTCTTTTGGTGGTGGTGGTGATTATTTTAAGGGGGTTCTTTTGAGGGGTGAGAGATAGCCTTCTTATCCAGCAGGTAATATTGCAGTATTTTTAGTCTGTAACCATTCTTTTTTTTTTTTTTTTTTTTTTTTTTT